TCAATTGAGGCAGGCTAATCAGGGCACCTGGGTTTAAAAAGGAGCTCACTTCAGTTTGTGGTGCGCGTGTAAGGAGTTGGGAGCAAGAGGCACTAGGAGCTGAGAGTGAGAACGCGGACTGTTGAAGGACTGAGGAGTGGAAGCATTATCAGACACCAGGAGGAAGGTCCTATGGTGAGGATAAAGAAGGTGTTGGGAGGAGGCCATGGGGAAGTAGCCCAGGGAGTTGTAGCTCTCGTGCAGCTGTTCCAGGAGGCACTCTGGACAGCTAAATTCCACAGGGCCCTGGGCTGGAACCCGGAGTAGAGGGCGGGCCCGGGTTCCCCCCAAACCTCCCAACTCCTGGTCAGACACAGGAGGAGTCAACCTGGACTGTGGATTCATAAAAACGGCCAAGCTGAGGGCTGCCGTGAAGCTCCAAGGAGAGCAAATCCGCCAATAAGCGCAAGACCCACGAAGGTAGAGGAGGAACTTTGTCACATTCCTGATTTCACATGCTCCCCTACAATAATTGCCACACTTGCAGCATTATGTAAATAACAGTATGTCCACTGTATCAGTACTGCAGAGCACATCCACAGCTTGTTTTTAAGAGAATTTTGTAGAAATTGCAGACTGTCTGAGTGAGCTGCAACTCATTTGTGTGTGTGTGTGTGTGTGAGAGAGAGAGAGATGTTGTAGGGCTCAGTATTTGTTTATACTTTATCCTGACTCCCTCAGCAGAAATTACAAGGATTGCAAAAAGAGATTCATAGTGCTTCCGCACGTTTTCCTATCTAGGTTTTACAACATTATGTGAACTGATTTTAGTGTAGATTTATTTCTGTGTGGCAGTTTCACATTGGATCAAATCATATTAACGCCATATATCACAAGCAGCAGTTTACCTTTTGTTTGTTTACATTTTAGCTAAGGGAAGGTATGTCTTTAAATAACATACAGAAAGAATGGGAGAGCTCCCGAAATGGGGGAAGCACATCTGTTCCATCACAGCCCATCGTGGCTCCCATGTGTGCCACAGGCAATATCTGTTTTAAACTCATCTAATAAAAGACCCAATTCCTTATGTTCACAATGCAGTAGTGAATGTGTCTTAGAATCCTCTTCCTCTTTCCCTTTGTCGCCTTGTCCTGCCCATCACAGATTGTTCATCGTATGCCCTGGCCTCATAATCCAACTCAGATGTGGATGTCACTCTAGTTTTTAAACAGTTGGCGCCATTCTGCTATAGTTTTCAATTTAAACATTAACAGAAAATAACATAACTTGCCAAGTTGTTGCTTGATTCCCCCTCCCCATCCCACCCCAAATCAGTTAATTTATCTTACAGGGTTGACTTTGAGTGGCCTTTAAAGCCATGTGATACTGGAACCGAGACTTCCACCTAATACTACAATCTCCATCCTCTAGAGAAGTTAAAAAAACACCACTTGCATTCCGTGATATTAATGAGACGTGCCCCCCCCCCCCCACAGCCCCCTGCCCCACAACCATACTGTAACTGTGAAATAATGTTAAAGTTTCTCAGGCTTGTTATGAAGTATTTAAATGTCAGTGCCATTTCTGAGACCATCAGGGCAGATTTAATGGTGACCAAGGTCAACAAATGCTAACTGGGACCTCCCTTTAGGGCCTCAAGGGACTTTTAATTGAGTCTCAGTCATGAAGTTAATTTGCAGTGTGGGCCTTTATCCTTAAATCTGCTCCTAGCAATTATTCTATACCATCCCTGTTCATGTGCTGAGGTTTCTTAACAAACTTTGGTCCCTTTAGTCAATAAAACAAACTGGTAAAATAAGGAACTCTTGGGGATTTTATTTTTAGGGATCCCCTATTTTTTTCCTTTTCCACTTGGCTTAAAGACTTAAGGAGGGTTGGATATGGTGGTTCTTAGAGCCCGTCAAAACCTCAGAGCTATGGCCAGGGGGATCAATGGAGTGCAAATGCACGCACTCCGAGCTTTGGTCCTGAGGAGTTTGGGAACCAACCCAACTTGCAGTCTTTTTTCCCCAAGAGTGCCCTAAACTTGGTAAGGTGAGAAGTGAGATGTTACTCCTTAGGGAATTCTGTGCCAAAAAATTAAATATTCTGCGCACAATATTTTAAAATTCTGCATATTTGTCAAAATAACACAATATAATCATACCATTTTAAATGATTTGCTGACAAGTATTTTGAAATAAATTACCAAAATAATTGAAAATGGTGTGATTATATTGTTACTGTTTGTGTTGTTTTGATAATTAATATATGCACAACTTTGCAGAATATTAAATTTTTAATTTTTTGGTGCAGAATTCCCTCAAGAGTACCAAGGTTCTGTGTGGCGCAATCTGGGTGCGGGCAGCTCGGTGGGGGGCCTGGGTCTAGCGGGGAATCTGGATGCACAGGGGCTTGGTGCGGGGTTCTGGGTGCAGGGGGAATGGGACTCTGCAGGGGAGTCCAGGTGAAGGTGGTTAGGGCTCAGTGGGGAGGGCTGGGGGAGTGGAGCTTGGTGGAGTGGGGGGTCAGGGTGCAGCTGGTTGGAGCTCAGTGGGGTGGGGGTCCAGATGTGGGGGGCTCCTGATGCAGAAGGTGAGGCTTGGCAGGGTGGAGGTTTGGGGGGCTCAGTGGGGGCTTCTGAGTGCAGGGGACTCCTGATGTGGAGGAGCTCAGTGGGGGGGATTCCAGGTGTGTGGGTGGGCTCACTGTACAAGGAGCTGCTCCCCATCTGCCTAACCCCGTGCATCCAGACCTCCCCACACCCAACAGCCCCCCCTGCTGAACCAATCCCCACCCCCTCTCCAAGCCTCTCACACACACCCACACCCATGGTGCAGAGCTTGCTGCAGCCAGGGGAAGTTTCTGGGGCTTGATCTGACCCAGCCTCAGATGGAAGGGGGAGGGAGGCCTCAATCCCTCTCCCCGCAAGCTGGGACTAACATCCCTGGGCAGCCAGAGCCTCCCAAGACCCCCCTACCACCAGTGATTTACCTTCTCCCCCTTCTCCCCGCCCCCCCAGCTGCCCAAACAGATGTGTCTGAGCTGTCCAGCTGCCAGGGAGGGGGTGAGTGAGTATTGGTGCAGCTTCTCTTTGCTTCCCCGATTTCTGCAAGGAAGCAAAGGGAATCTGCGATGAGGGGGGGAAAGGGGGGGCATTTTTCTGCTGTGGCACAATTGCGAGGAATTTACCCGGGAGTAGATGTATAACAGGTAGCTACAGGATTATTTTATGGTCTTTTCTCTCATATCCCTTAACATCTTGCACCCCATCTTTTATTTGTTGCCAGAAATCTCTTTCTGTGTGGTATTTAATTTAGATTATAAAGTCTTTGGGACATGGGAGTGTGTTTTTATTTGTCTGTAAAATCATCATGCACAGCGATGGCACTAAACAAATAACAAACAACTCTGATTGCCTTCTGGCAACATGTTGAAATTCTGGTAGGTTGCCCTCCTGGCCCCTCTGATTTCTGAAATATTTTAATGTCCTGCACTTTTCACCCAGTCCTAGCATCAGATTTTCCTTGTACGTTTAGTGCTGACACTAATGCAGATGCCTCCAACTCGTTGGGTTTCATGGGGCAAAACGTGGCATAAGTGGCTTTCAATCATATGGTGAAGAGTAAATTTTTGTAAAAACAAAACTGAAAATAATCATATATCAATATTTAGGGGATAATCTACATTATTTTATTTTCTCTGAGACCTGCAAGAAACTCACAAGGAAGGAGCTGAGGGGCAGTCAAATAGAGTTGATATGTTGGTTTATATAAAGAATGTAAATAATGCATACAAAAACTGTACATAGTTGGATTAGATTCCTCTCCAACACTTTGTATGTTGCTTGCATTCTTAAATCTAAGATCTTTGGGGCAGTGATTGTCTTCCAGTGCATATGGACAGCAGCTAATCCATTGTGTGTGCTACCAGAATACAAATTGTAATTTTCTGTCCATCAGTGACCACCAAATTTCAGCTTGCTTGCTGCTGCTAAAGTGGTTTATCTTTAACAAACCTGGCTTCTGCAATTAAACACAGTTAAATCTTTGAGAAAGAGCCTGAGGGCTGAAACAGAGTTTAAATGCAATATGTTACTGAAATTAACGCACACAACTAGGAAAAGAGCTATGAGTGAGTGATTCACTGCTGTTCTGATGTGCATAGCAACACAAATGCTTAACTGCCGAGACAAACCGCAGTGCAAGGATACTCCAGGATATAAGCAGGATTCTGATGTCCCTTACATAACAGCCATGAGTATAACACACCCACTACGAGTTCACTTTTCATTGGGATGACAAATGTGAATTACAACCGCTTTCTTTCTGCAGAGTTTTATCAGAGTATAATCACTTGCCCAACTTAATTGAAAAATCACTTACATTTATAGCTGAATTTAAACATGTTTTTTTATTTAAATGACAGCTTTTGAAGTAGAACTATATTTTACGGAAAGTGGTTGGTTTTTATCTGTGTTTCTGTAAAGACATTTCAAAAACTCTCATCAAATTTCCGGTGGTAAGTAATATCCCATTCAGTGCAAGGTGAAATGTTTTACATCAAATCTCCTGCTGTGTAATGGCCAATCAAAGAGTATTTATAGTGGCTGAATGGATTTTTTGGCTTGGCATTCAAAATTAAACATTTTCATACATTAACATTTAATGTTTTTTGCCACTCTTCTAGTGATTTTATGTAACCCTAGATACTCACAACTACTTGGTACTCTGAAGCTACTTGTTTATGCTGAGGATCCTGCAGACAGTAGTTTCATATTTATTGTACTTGTGTAGACTGATTGAAATGTAGATTTGATAGCAGGCTTATCTCTGCCTTTTGATCAACATTATAGGAGTCTTGCTAGATGTCCATCAGCACAATACATCGAATCTCCCAGTACTCGTATGACAACTTTACTCTGTGAACTGATGATGAGAAGCAAATTTTGCTAAGGAACAATACCATTTAACATTCTATGTTAAATTTTGAAAGATGATAGCTTGTTTCTCTTATCGTAGGTATCCAACAAGAAGAGTCCGTGCCAGCTAGCACCTTTGGAACTGGATGGTTCTTATCTAAGTATAGCTAGACCGCAAACGTTATACAAGAACAATAAAGCATCACAGTCTGGAAGTTCAGCCCTGTTTTCAGTACCTCTGCACTGTAGAAATAATCATGCTCATGGGACCACAGCCCAGTACAACCAACAGGAGGTTCTCAATGAATGTCCAGCAGAAAATGGCTTGCACAGAAAATGTAACAATATGATGCTGTCAGCAAAGGAAAGGGGCCCATACCACACACAAATGGCTCCTGATGTGGGCCAGAGAATGAGTGAATTTCCGAACACTTGTCCTCACCAAATGAGTCATTGGGCTTCTAGGCAGCCAGGAAGCTTGGAGAACATTCAGGATAGCCAAAAGGTCAGCCATGCACCCAAAAGACATTCTGGGCCGCTTCATGAAACCTGTGATTACTCTAGGCTTTCTCGTGTTTCTGGGATGAATGACAGTGTGGACTCTGGATCAAAAGAAACAGAGCGTAGTAAAAGGCTGTCTGAGGAAAGAAGACAGCAGCTTCTGCTGCAGAAAATGGAGCTGGAAGTTGAAAAGGAACGTCTCCAGCATTTGCTTGCTAAACAGGAAGCAAAACTACTTCTGAAGCAGCAACAGCTACACAAATCCAGGCTGGATTACAATAGGTGAGTTTGTGAGGTTTACAGATAGAGGATAGTTGTTAGTGTATGACGAATTTCTGTGGTACCAAACATTTACATGGAGCATTGAGAAACACAGAGTAAGACATGCTCTGTGCCCTGAAGAACTTGGAATTTAAACTCGACAATACTATAACCACGAGACTAGACATGGGACAACAGTTAAGGTAAAGAAGAGTGTGAGGACTGTTGGTCTAGAATAAGATAGGAAAATTGGTGGAAGAAATTATCTTTGAGGGGGGACTTAAAAGAGGAGAGAGTGCGTTAGTGGGCTAGAACAAGGAGTGCAAGGTGTAGGAACAGCATTACAGAAGGTACCAAAACCATGAGTGGGAGAAAGAGACAGAGTGAGCAGTAAAGTTAATGTGCTAGATAAAACAAAGGAAGCAGAAAGAGGAGTAGAGGGGAATGAGAGTTGTTTGTATATAGACTTGAGTGCTGATGCTTTACTCAGCTGTACAGACATAAGAGAAGATGTGGTTCTTTGCTCAAGGGACTATGATGTAAATCAGATTCGGACAATACAGACACACAAAACCCCAACTGAGAGTCCAGTCTTGAATTCTGGGTTGTGTTTGATGAAAGGTTACCTGAAAAAAGTGGGTTTAAAGAGAGATTTAAACAGGGGGGTTGTTTTAAGGGAGGTAAAGAAGAGAGGCCCTAGAGAGTGAGGGGCCCCATGGAAAATAAGTGGAAAGAAGATACAAGAGAGGTTGTTGGGCTGAAGCATGGGAGGTGCTTAAGCAGTGGAAGTGTTAGTGGGGAGGAGGAAATAAGAACAGGGATGTAGACAGTTCAGAATTGTGCAGCGTCTTGAGTTGAAAATGAGGTGCTTTCACTGGATGTACAAGGTGAGAGCTTGCCCTGGAAGATATTTGTGCAAGGGTTTGACAGAGTGGTAGGAGGGGAAGACAGATTTAGCAACAACATTTTATATAAACTGGCAGGAGGAGAGGATAGAGGAGATGTATTGAAACCACAGAAGTAGTTGCCCTAGAAAGAGGAGATATAACTCAGTTGAATACAAGCATTTTAGTGGAAGGGAGAGGGAGGAATGGATGGAGTTTAGCAGTCTTGTAAAGGAAACAGCAAGAGGATTTGATGAGAGCTTTGATGTAGATATTATTTTAAAAGTGTCACTGACAAGGGGATCCCACAAGATTCTGAATTACATGACCTGCATCCCACGCATGTACTCTCTCTTTTCCCTCCAACCCCACAACTGCTTTTCAAGTTTTAAAAGGGAATATTATAGCTGAAGGAGTTTTTTGCCTGTATAAACTGTACTCTGCGAAGTAACTTTCTCTGCTGCTTTTGTATGTAATATGCAATCCAAAAATTAATTGTATTTAGTTAGTTTTCACATGCCTATGTGATCAGAGGCAGTCACAATTGTCTGTGCGTTGATGTGACAGGGCGCTCCACTCACCACTGGGATGGCACCTCCTCCTGGTCACTCTGGGGAATAGCTTGTGAGGTCAATGCCCCTTCCCAAGTTTGCGCACCGTCTCTCCACCTCTCTGTCTTGGTCTGTGGCCCTCTGTCTCACTCCATGAGACTTAGCCCTGCCTCTTTGTGACTTAGCCCTGCCTCCAGATCACCAAACGGTTTTCCCCTTCCAGGATCATAAAGTCTTTCCTTTCAAGCAGTCCTAGGCAGTCTTCCTCGTAGTGCCACTCTCTTAACGGTTGGCAAGGGAACCCAGGTCCACCCTCTGCTCCGGGTTCTGGCTTAGGGACCCTCTAGAGAGCAATCAAGGCCTATTCGCTTCTAGACCTTAGTGCCTTTCCCTGACCCCTGTCCTACCTCTTTGGCTCCCCCCGGGTTTGCCAGCTCAAACACACCTCCCCTCTCTCAGGGAATGACTGCAGACTCTCCCAGCAGCCCCCACTATTTCGTGTCTTTATAGTCCCAGCCCAGATCGTTCCTCCTCAGCTGGGCTCCCTCAGTCTTGGGTTTACTTGGCCACCTGATTCAACATCATCTGTGGCCTGTTGGGTTAATTAGCCCCCTTTCCCATCTGCATTAACCCTTTCCAGGTAAGTGTGGGGTAAACATCTGATCACAGTTGGAAATGACTGAGGTCACAAAGGATTATAACTTCAGGTGAGAAGTAAGTAGGAACAGATGTATTCTTAAGAACATAAGAAAAGCCATACAGGGTCAGACTAATGGTCTATCTAGCCAGGTATGCTGTCTTCCAATAGTGGCCTATGCCAGGTTCTTCAGAGGGAATGAACAGAACAGGGAATCAAGTGATCCATCCCTTGTCACTCATTCACAGCTCCTGGCAAACAGAGAATAGGAACACTTCAGAGCATGGTTTTGCATTCCTGCCCATCCTGGTTAATAGCCATTAGCTATCCTCCATGAACTTATCTAGTTCTTTTTTGAATCCTGTGATAGTCTTGGCCTTCACAACATTCTCTTGCAAAGAGTTCCATAGGTTGACTGCGTTGTGTGAAGAAATATATCCTTTTGTTTTGTTTTAAACCTGCTGCCTATTTTTTTCATTTGGTCACCCCGGTTCTTGTGTTATTAGAAGGAGTAAATAACATTTCCTTATTTACTTTCTCCACACTAGTCATGATTTTATAGTCCTCTAACATATCTCCTCTTTGTCACTTCTTTTCCAAGCTGAAAAGTCCCAGTCTTATTAATCTCTCCTCATATGGAAGCTGTTCCATACCCCAAATCATTTGTATTGCCCTTTTCTGTACCTTTTCCAATTCCAATATATCTTTTTTGAAATGGGGCAACCAGATCTGCATGTAGTATTCAAGATGTGGGCGTTACCATGGATTTATATAGAGGCAATATGATATTTTCTGTCCTATTATCTCTCCCTTTCTTAATGATTCCCAACATTCTGTTTGCTTTGTTGACTGCCGCTGCACATTGACTGGATATTTTCAGAGAACCATCCACAATGACTCCAAGATCTCTTTCTTGAGTGGTAACAGCTAATTTACATCCTATCATTTTATATGTGTAGTTGGGATTATATTTTCCAGTCTCCATTACTTTTCATTTATCAACATTGAGTTTCATCTGCCATTTTGTTGCCCAGTCACCCAGTTTTGTGAGATCCCTTTGTAACTCTTCGCAGTCAGCTTTGGACTTAACTATCTTGAGTAGTTTTGTATCATCGGCAAATTTTGCCACCTCACTGTTTACCCATTTTTCCAGATCATTTATGAATATGTTGAACAGGACTGGTCCCAGTACAGACCCCTGGGAGACACCATTATTTACCTCTCTCCATTCTGAAAACTGGATCTTCAAATATCCTATTTCTATGCATATGTCCTACTAATAAAAAGTAAGTAGAATATAAAGGACACATAGGCAGAGTTGCTTTTAAAATGAATATTTTCAGAGTCTTCTGAGAGGCATTGGCTGCCCAACAAAAGGACTCTTGAATATCTCTGTAATGGTGTCATTCTTGTTACTATAATTGCACCTATTTAAACCAGTTTCTCTGAAAAGATTTCAAGTTCGGCAAAGCTGTAGTTTCTAGAAAAAAAGTACAGAGGAGCGTCCATAAATGAATAGCCTGAGTCTTGAAAATATTTTCCATTACCTCTTCCCAGAGGTGCAGATGCTTGTACATTTGCCATCTCATCTTCAAATAAGGCACTTACACCGTAGCAATCTGAATGTAAGAGGTTCTCTTGCAATCTCTTTAGAGTTAAATGCAATTGAACTATCTACATCAAATATCTGCACATGCCTAATATTTACAGGTATCCTTCTCAAATGTCACCTTTCCTGTTTTAGTTTTAGCTTTGTGATTCTCCTCTTTGGTGTACTTGCTAACCACAGAATTACTTCTAAGGTCTGCAGATGACAAAGATTTGTTTACTTAATCATTTAAATACACCTTGCTAAATTGTCAGGAAGACTCACTAAGGAAGGAACTTAATCTATTCACTAATCTTTTACTATCACGAGGATAGTAAAAGACAGATAAACAAAACCAGCTAATGTTAATTTATTTGGCTGTCCCTCTCTCTCAATGGGTAGAATTGTGCAGTGCTGGATTAGGCCCATTCGGAGGTGCTAGAGGTGTCATTGTTTAAATGAGAAGTAAAAAGTATCCTACACTAACTTGTACTAGTTAGTGGCTCTTAAAATGCCTGTATATCTTTTTGCAAGGGCAAGCGTTAGCCCTTTTTCATGGCCAAATTCTAACATAATTGCATTCTGTCTCCCTAAATTCCCTCCTGCAGTTTCAAATGGGCACAGTATTCTTCAATCCCATGTGCTCTGCTTGTATAATGGCTGTCACTTTTCACACCAGAGGTGACTGCATTTCAATGGTGGGGGAAATGACTCTGTAGCAAGGCAGGGCACTCACCAGTGTGGTGCCTCCTGCTGGTCCATCTGGGAATTAGCTCATCTGGCTCCGGAACGCCCTCTATGGGCCGGTGTCTCACCCTCTGTTACCTGCCCCTGTTGTCTCCTCCACCTCTGGCCCCGTGTCCCTCCTGGACCCCAGTGCCCCTTACCTTGGGATGCTGCCCCACAGTAGTGTCCCCACACTCTGTGTCTTCCCTCCCAGGAGACTCCCAACTCCCCTGCGTCAGTGGCTACTGCCAGTCATCTAGCCCCTTCTCTTAGGGGCAAACTTCAGTCTGTAATGGCCACTCATCACTGGCAAGGGGGTTGGACCTGCTGCCTTTTTTTGCCCTGGCTGCCTCCCTGCAGCCCTAGTACCTCCTCAGGCCTTTGCCGCAAAGCCTTGGCCTGGGAGGTCACTAGGCCAGAGCTCCCCAGTTCAGCCTGCCTTTTCCTGGTACTGCTCGGTCCAAGGTATCCCTGACTCTACCAAGCAGCCAAGTCCTTCCTTTTCCCCAGGAACCCTTCTTATACTGGCCTAGTAGGGCCCTGACTGGCTGTGCTTGTGCTTGTCTCCCCAGGACAGCTGTTTTTTTTAATACCTTCCAAACTGGAGTGGGGTGACTGCCCTGCTACAGACTCCTCTAGGTATGTTTAATTACACTTCAGGGCAGCCCAAAATTACACTAGCTTGAGGTGCAGAATTGACCATCTTCAGTCCTGGCTCAGTGACAGGTTTAAGGTCCTTTCAGTTACTATCCATGAGGGCCAGAAATTGTATCTTTATTATAATAGAAAGGGAAACTTTCCTGCATGCTATTTTCTCTCTTGATTTGAACAGAGGAGAGGATACTTCGATAAAGAGGGAACATCATCTGTTGAGACCTACGGTTTCCTGGAACTGCATCACCATATTAAAGATGGAGAACAGCTGCAATCTCCTATATTTTATGCAGCTTTCATGCCGCCCTTGAGCTCTTGCCAGGTGCTAGGGCATCCCTTGGTGTGGCGAAGCATGAATATTTCTCATAGTTTTTCTCATATTTCTCAAGAGAGCAAGTGCTTTGAAATCAGTAGAATTAAACAATTTTTTGTCAACCACAACCCTCAGAAACAAAGGCAGCAGGTGGAAGCTGTTTCCCCAAAACTGAGAGGTGTAAGAGAGAAAATGGAGAGGTTTTGTGAAAGCTTCTCTGTATAAAGTGCTCTGATCAGAGTTCACCCTTTTGTGTGTGTTGGGGGTGGAGGTGGCTGCAGATACAATAGCTTCCCCAGGATGTAAAGCTAACTAACTCCACATTTCCAGATTTAAGGGCCAAGTTTTTGATTCAGACATGGTCACTGATGAAGCACCAGGCGGGCCAGGAGGACCAACCCTTATGATGAATGGCACTGGCATGGGGCTAAGGTAATCTCTCTTATTTTCTTTTAACCATTAGCAAGTACTTTTAAGTGTTGGTGTATTTTCTTCGTTCTCAAAAAGATGTTATTGGCTGCCAAGTGCATATTTTTGGTCTGTATTTCTATTTGAGTTGGGTTAAATGCTGCTAACCAGGAAAGACCTCATGAAATAGTCTAGATTGGTCTCTAGCTTGGCTCATGCTGCAGGGCTATAAAACTGAGCAGTAGGCTGGTGCCCAGACTCTGGAACCCTCCTCCATCAAAGGGTCCCAGAGCCTCTATGTCTACACTGCAGTTTTATAGCCCTGCAGCCCAAGCTAGCTGACACAGGTCATCCAGGAGTGTTTTAATGCAGTGTAGATATACCCTGAGTCTCTCTGTGCCTCAGTTCCTCATCTTTATAATAGCAATAATGCTATCCTTTGTTGTCTTGTCTTTTTAGATTGTAAGCTGTTCAGGCCAAGGACTGTCTTACTAGGCGTTTGTACAGTGCCTAGCACAATGGGACCTTGATCTCATTTGGGGCCTCATATAATTAATAATTGTCTGATCTGGCAGTCCTTACTCATGCAAAATTCCCAATGAAGTCATGCTAACTTTCATGTTTTCTGAGGTCAGTTGGGAGTTCTCTGAGTGTGTGGTAGATAGCTGTGGCATTTCCCCATGACTGGAGGAAGTCTACAAGTGCACATGTGGTCGATCTCCATCTTAATGGCACTTCTGGATCACCTGTCCTCGGTCCCATTTGGAGCATGAAAATCTCTTTTGCTTCTAAAACCCTTCCCGGATACAATTCCCCTTTCTGGTCTCTGACCTGACTGACAGTGCAGTCTCTTGCCAGAGGTTAGTCAGTTTGGCATTATATATCTTTTGGCGCTGAGGCGTTGGTCAAAGGCTTTGTGTAAGACCTCTTCTCAGCAAAGCAGGAAGGAGAGAATAAAAAAGTATACAGGCCTCTCAGTGCCAAAGAAAACCTTTCTCACTCTTTATGGTGCTAAAGCAAACTGCTAGACAAGAACTCTAGGTGTCAGAAGTGTCTTCCTAGGGTCAGTCCTTTTCTCCTACCTCCACACATTGACTGGACGTGGTAGAATAATAAGGGTAGACTCAGGCTCAGCAGTGTGTTGGCTCATCACAAGCCAACCCTGCAGTCTCTGACCCAATAAATGCTCTTCTCATCCCAGCAAATCATGAACAGCAAGCAGCAGAACCCAAGTAAATGTGTGCACCCAGGAAGGCAGCACTTGCTGCTGGACCAGAAATTGCAGGTGTGCCTTCTGTGGTTCTAATCTCTCTTCTGCCCCCGCTCCCCCCAAGCTTACCAACCTTGGGTTAGGTGTTTTTTGTTTTGCTGTCTGGTGAATGGTATTCATTTCCTTCTGTATTTTCTTTTCTTCAGTCTTGGTTGGGGATGGGATGGTAGAGGAATAATTGGACCTACAAATTTACACTAATTGTGAGCTCCACAGTGAGAAGTGAGTGAAAGTTCATAAAATGTCGCAATAAACTGTCATAAATGTTGATGGGAAAAGGTGTAAAAAGAGAGAGGCTGAATTAGCCCAAACAAAAAATCCCACTGATATAATTCAAGGGCTGTGTAAACAAGGATACTGTAAGACTGGAAATCAATGAACCAAAATTGGTGTGTTGGAAATTAGCCATAATTGGTTGACAAAATAACGTGGGGGTGGGCTATTCCACCCCCACTCTCTTCTGAGGTCCTCCTAAGAAGAAGACTTTGTGGGGAGAACTGGCTCCTGCAATGCTGGCTGACTGAAAGAACAGGAAGGAGCGAACTTCACCATCATGGCTGCCACCCGCACTGTGTCTTAGGATCCTGGTCCTCCTTCATCCTAATTGAGAGAAATGTCCTGACCAGATCAGTCCAGAAAGAAAGGGACCCCAATGACATCCACTGGCTTTAGTTACATGCTGAACACCACTTGGGATGTGAAACTTTGTCATATATACTCCCTCCCAGTTTGTCCTTTTCCTTTCCCACTTTATTTCTTTTTTCCTATCCCTCTCTTTTTGTTTTCTATTTAATAAGAGCCTGGCCAAGACTGTATATTTTGTAACACCGCTGTATCTCTGTTACAGGAAAGAGGCTGCTAAAAAGAATGCCCTAAACAGCTCAATGTTGGTATAAGTTTGCCAGGTCTTGGAGTGGCTAATAAGACCATGGGCTATGCTTGTGTTTTTCGAGCCGTGAGGTTGCAAGTGACATTCAACACCAGGGACAGTTGCTGTATTTTCTATCTTTGCTGTTCTTTTCTTTCCCCTTTGTTTGTCTTGTTATGCCTTCTGGGAAATAGGATTGGACTTGTACAGCAACAGCAATAACTCCAGTGTATCCAACTAACTACTTCTCATTTACCCAAAAGGACAGTTATTCCCATCTTTAATGCTCTCTAAGAGATGATCAGGCAAGGGGTTTTTTTTCCTTCGAAAGATCCTCTCCTGCTAAATGGAATGAGGATGTTGTTAAAATGAAAGCCTCACTTAATACCTTGCATTTCATATACTTTAACTGTTTTTCCTTCTTTCTGTATCTTTAATAAAAAGTTAAAAAGGATGTTTAATAGTGTGTTTGCCATGGTACTAAGCAATCTGAGGTCTGTGTGTACCAAACCCTGAACCTTGTTTACCACTGTTTAATGTTGGACAGCGACAGGGACATGTCAATACCTTCAACTCTTTTGACTCATGTATTCCATCTAAATTAATACAACAGTGGGGTGTGATATCTTCCTCATGGACTTGCTAGTTTGTTCTTTCGCCTATATGAGTTACTGATTATCCAGTAAAAACAACAAGGAATCCTTGTGGCACTTTAGAGACTAACAGATCTCATTAGACTGACCTCACACTTGGTAAAGCAACTCCCATCCTTTCATGTATTTATACCTACTCCTTTATTTTCCACTCCATGTATCTGATGAAGTGGATTGTAGCCCACGAAAGCTTATGCCCAAATAAAGTTGTTAGTCTCTAAGGTGCCACAAGGACTCCTCGTTGTTTTTGCTGATACAGACTAACACGGCTACCACTCTGAAATTTATTTGGGCATAAGCTTTCCTGATTATCCAATCACCTTTGTGTTAACAAGTAGTGGAGTCTATTTAATTTTAAACTTAGGTTACCAGCAGAGCTGAGAAGGAGAGTCCTAAAAGTGATCCTCATTTATTTTTTCCTGTTTTACAAAACCATGTGATTCCATGATCACTGTAGCAAAGGAGATTCAGAAAATAGATCTAGTTAAATATATTATAGGATTGCACTCTGTTGAGGAGAAATGTAACCTAGAACATCTGCAAGTCTGTCATAAATATAAAGGGAAGGGTAAACCCCTTTGAAATCCCTCCTGGCCAGGGGAAAGCTCCTCTCACCTGTAAAGGGTTAAGAAGCTAAAGGTAACCTCGCTGGCACCTGACCAAAATGACCAATGAGGAGACAAGATACTTTCAAAAGCTGGGAGGAGGGAGAAAAGCAAAGGGTCTGGGTCTGTCTGTAGTCGTCTTGGCCAGGGACAGAACAGGAATGGAGGCTTAGAACTTTTAGTAAGTAATCTAGCTAGGTATGTGTTAGATTATGATTTCTTTAAATGGCTGAGAAAAGAATTGTGCTGAATAGAATAACTATTTCTGTCTGTATATCTTTTTTGTAACTTAAGGTTTTGCCTAGAGGGGTTCTCTATGTTTTTGAATCTAATTACCCTGTAAGATATCTACCATCCTGATTTTACAGGGGGGATTTCTTTATTTCTATTTACTGCTATTTTTTATTAAAAGTCTTCTTGTAAAACACTGAATGCTTTTTCATTGTTCTCAGATCCAAGGGTTTGGGTCTGTGGTCACCTATGCAAATTGGTGAGGCTTTTTATCCAACATTTCCCAGGAAAGGGGGGGTGCAAGTGTTGGGAGGATTGTTCATTGTTCTTAAGATCCAAGGGTCTGGGTCTGTAGTCACCTAGGCAAATTGGTGAGGCTTTTTACCAAACCTTGTCCAGGAAGTGGGGTGCAAGGTTTTGGGAAGTATTTTGGGGGGAAAGACGCGTCCAAACAGCTCTTCCCCAGTAACCAGTATTAGTTTGGTGGTGGTAGCGGCCATTCCAAGGATAACGGGTGTAATATTTTGTACCTTGGGGAAGTTTTGACCTAAGCTGGTAAAGATAAGCTTAGGAGGTTTTTCATGCAGGTCCCCACATCTGTACCCTAGAGTTCAGAGTGGGGGAGGAACCTTGACAAAGTCTTTTTGCAATAGGTTGCCAAAACCTACAAAAGTCTACTTAATATAGGGGGGGAAATGAAGAAAAACTGCATTGTTTAGAAAATGAGTTCCAGATTTTATAAGGCTTTTTCCCTTTCTCTCTCTCTCTCTCTCTCTCTCTCTCTCTCATTCCCTTGATTAAACCCACAGTAATTTTTCAAAGTTAATATGCATTTCTGCAGTCCCAAGTCACAACGCCAGCTGGTTCCAAAGTTTGGCAGCAAGGCATCTGAAAGTTTGTTTCTTGTACTCAGTCTTCAGTTTTGCAAAGGTTACCAGATGAATGCTCCCTAAATAATTTAATCTAATGTAAGGCTGGAAGAGGCTATGAAGACAAGTCCATTTGTCTCCTTTATGCATTTGAATATAGAAGTGATTTTTTTTCAGTCTCAGAAAAGGGTGCGTGTGAGTGTGGCTGGAATGGGAGGTGGGAACTGTTCTCTTCTAAGCAATCTGAAAGTTGTAGTGAAATGTCAAAGGCTTCTTGCTGTAGAAAATATTAAGAATCATGATGGAAAACCAACCCTGTTTACCTTCCAGTTTGGATGAGCTTCTCAAGGGAACCTCCCCAAAACGTAATTTTAATTTTCAAATAACCAAAGCTCAGTTTAAAATTCTCTTGGTATTTTTAAAAAAAATTGCCAAAAGTATTTAAAATATTAAACTTGCTCGAATGAGACCTTGAAATTTACAAGTAAAATAAATAATACAATCAAGAACTGAAAAACATCGATTTTT